CTACAGTGTCAGCCTGTGCTACCACCCTGTATGTTCTGCTCCAGTGTGTATTCTTTGTCATTACACTGCTGCTCATTGATACATTCATACACTCCTTCAGTGTGCTTTTGTTCCCGCAGCGTGAAGCCAGTCTGGTTCGGTTTGGTTTACTTTTTCATTGTTTTCATTTTGAGTGTGAAAGCAACCATTTTAGAAATAAAGGTTCATTTGAATTTGTCAAGTTAGACTTTTACTGTTTTATTTTTTTCTAATCCTCCACTGCTTTCATTTGTGATTAAATGTAACTGTTAATTTCAGAATGTGTTTATTTTTATTTCCCAGAAAGGATGACACAAGTGTGTCAGGTCTAAACAAGTCCGAAACAAGAAGAAGCCCTCCTCCTGCTCCTCCACCTTCTTTTGTGACCTTTCGGCCTAATGTCTTACAGGAATTATCAATGATTAAAACGTGGAAAATTCTGGAATGCTGTCAAGGTTTTTGAAGACTGTTTGAAAACTAAGGTCTGGTGCAAACCTGGAGATTATCCAAAACCCACAGAGATAAGACGAAGTCCACAGGAAACGTTACATAAGACTTAGACAGATACTTGAGCCTTTGATCGTTAGGAGCCAGGAAAATCCTTTTTACCACTCTGTCAATACACGAGACAACACTGCATGACAGACGACCATGAGGTAGAATGTTACTCCACCAAAACCAAACAATCATGCATTGACGGTTCAACACTTCAGAATAGAACAGAACAGAATAGAATACAATAGAATAGAACAGGTCTAAATAATGCATTTAACCAAATGCATGTTTTACAAATGTTCCTTTTACTTTGAGGAACAAATGTTGAAGGACCAAACAGTACTGGTCCACTAACAGCCTTAGCACTAACATCAACCTGATAAATGGCAGATAAATGAAAGAAAATGTCTTGACTGTAAAACTCATTAATCTCTATCTATTTGAAATTAGAGATGTTAATGAGACATGACAGGTTCAACACGTTTATAATGCGATAACATGTGTAACATTATTACCTTACACAGGGGGACACGTTAAGGAGTCATACAGTAAAGACACAGCTGGACAAGAACAGATAAGACCAAAAGGTAAATATTTGTTTTGACATCCCAGAATAAACATGGAAACAGATACACAACTGCTCACAAATGGCCCACTGCAAGACACACATGTTTACAGCAGTATAATAATGAGCTTCTTCCTGACAAACACTGGGAGGTTTAGACCCAGCAGATGCCCATTGACTCTGGACCAGGACTTGGGAGGAGCCTGGCTGTGTTTGCTTGGCCACAACAAACCACCAGCACAACGTCCTAACAACAGGCAGTTACTACTACAAAAACAGAGAGGCCAAGACCGCCTGCCATTTCCCACCGCAATCTTTGGTCAACCATTAATGCCCAGAAGGGAGGAACCACAGACAGACAGGCGCACAGACACAAAACGAGAGACAGAGTCACGGTGAAAAGAAGGACGGACGTCCGTCATTTCATGTTTCCTGTCACTTCTATATGAGGTTTAACAAAAGAAGAAAAAAAATTGAAGTACTCTACTTGTTAGGTCACCAGGATTCTATGCCACATTAACAAACCTGACAAACCTGAAATTTAATAGTTGAAAACAAAGAGCTCAAAATATCATTACAAGTGTTATTCAACATGAACTAAGTCAGTCTACACCAGGGCTAACTTCTATAATACTTCAAAGGAGGTTTGCGATGGCCACTATAACACATCATACACAGCTCCGTCTCAATGACTAACTCCAACATCCACAGTAAGGTCTTACAAGGGCCTGTCTTGTTTTGATGTTTATGTTACAAAGCACTGGTAACAACATTTTGAGAGTTCAATAGTCCCTGCACAGTCCCGGCTGCACTGTTTGCTGTGGAACAATTTGGTTTGCGTATATTGAACTAAATGTTTGGACTGACTTTTGAAAATTTTGATTGTTTTCCTAATTTCAATTGTTAGCATTTTGCTTTATATTATGTAAACATTTCTATTCTTTCTTAAGTTATCTTTAGGTAATACTATAAGCTTTTCTTATCAGATTTAGATATTTGCAGCTATTTAAGTTTTCTTCAAACGATACTGGCTCACGATTAGCTAATTTTTATCTTTACCTCCTTCTTAGTAATGTGCATATCTGGGAAATAGCTGTTGTTTATATAGTGCAGTGGCCAAGATGGACATTTTCTACTCTATGTCCTGCAAAAGTTCATTCAACATTTAACCAAGAGTTCTTTTATTGAACGGAGAATTGTGTACTGTCAAATATTCTCAGTTCCTTTGGCCAGGAACCACAGTGTACTCCACTGCGTTAGTAAAGTGGAGATCAGCCAGTGACACCTGTCATTGGTCAGTGTAATGTCAGATGTTTGCTCTGAGGCTTTTGGGTCTCTGTGACTAGGTGTTCCAGCACTCGTGAGCAGACAGACGGGTTCCTTGACATTTGCAGACTGGTTGTGACACGTTATTGCTAGTAAAGTGCTGATAAACATGTTATCACACGACACCTGATCCTACATATACTCTCCTGCTGTTGTTAATGTCCAAGGCTGACGGCAGGGGCTGACACGGAGTCTGCAGCCAATCATTAAAATGAAGACTGGGGTTCAGGGTTTAACCTGGCCTCTGCCCAGTGACTGCTGGGAATGTGATGAGACTAATTCATTTGTGAATTAACTGCATTTGTTTGTGTCATGGCACACCTGTCAACAACGTCTGTTTCCATTGGAGTTAGCGTTGAGGCTTTGCTACATAAAAAGTTTATGTCGTATATTTTGACTTTCTCCTGTTACTATGATGTTATCATGTGCCAAAACAGATGCTGTCATAACTGGTTTTGGTGACAGATATTTCCAGGGTTTACACTGAACGGTGGGATAATATACACAGACAGAACTTTAGCCAGCAGCCTACATTACACACGGTTATTACACTGTGTGATTTAAAATGAATGAATCATTTCAGCCTCTACATCAACCAATAAAATGCCATGTCATTCACCTTATCACTGAATGACAGCGGTCTGTCTACATACCTTAGCATACCAGCAGTTTGTAAACAAACTATTAGATTTTAGCTCAAAGTGAGAAACAGAAAAGTCGGAACCAACATTCAGGATCCTCTCAAAAGTAAACAAACAAGTCCAACTGCGTTGATGGTTGACTGTAAATCCCAATGGAACAGCAGCAGCACACAGACACATGCACAAACATTGGCAATAAGTTGTTAAAAGGTTTATTTCCTGCTGCAGATGCAAGGAAAATGACTCGTACCTGCTCTAAATGGTCACCTGGATCGAAAGAAGCCATGTTGGATCTCAGGTAAATCTGGTGACGAGCTGAGGAGGAACTCTCTCAGTTTAGTCGTCTGTAGTCCTTCAGCCAGGCGTCCAGGAGATCTTTGTTCGCAGCAGGACTCTGAATGACAGCAGCTGGAGGAACCGTGGAGTCACAGACCGGACAAAACGTCCGTGCGTCCGCCCGTGGCAGGAGCAGGTGGAGCGGGAAAGTGTCCAGCCTTAGCTCTGCACACAGCAGAAACCATGATAGATGTAGTACCAATACAAAACCACAAGGGGGCAATATAAGTCTTATTTCAACTTCCACAGAGGTTTATTCACATTTATTGGTTTTTATTATAGTTGATCGTTTTTGGAGGTTAAATTAAATTATACATGTACACCAGCTGATATTTGTCATTTAGACAATATCAAAATATTTCTAGTGTTTGATAAAACTAAGTTGCAGCTTTTAGGTTTAATTTTAATAGTAAATCTATTAATTTAATAAAATATTTGAACTGTCGACTCGTGAAAGTAACACCCTTGCAAAAAAAGTACAAAAATGGAAATGAAATGTTCCTTAACGTGATTAGGAACAAAACGAACAGAGACAGCTGTGATGAAGATGTAAAGAAAAAATATGGCCGATCTTGACACATCCTAATACGTCCCCCTTTTTATGTACCATCCTCTTAAAGTACTTACACTGAACGAAACTAAAATGGCAAAAATCATTTAAAAAGTCTACCAACCTTTTAATAAAATAGATTTGTAATTTTAAAAAACGCGGCGTATAAGTATATAAGTATATAAGTTATATGTAAAAAAATTACTTTCACTTAAAAGCAAAAAGGAAAGCAGCTAAGGGTGTTTTCATCGGTAGATAGTTTTTTGATGAATTTATTGACAACATTTTTGTTACTAAAGACAAAATAAGATATGTGCAAGATTTTAAAAACTACATTTTAAAATATTTACTTTAAAGTATCGTTTTTGTTGTTTTCCTCGGAAGTCTGACGGGACATGCTAGCAAAAACATCGGCACCTGTACCTTCGTTGTTTAGAGATGCACCTGCAATTTTGTGCCACACGAAGGCAGTGTTAAATAGTTAAAAAAATATTAGTTGTCTCAGAACATGCCAATTTAATTTTTCCTCAACAATTCGCTAATCCACAAGATAAAACAAAGTAAAATGTACCCGTCACTGCACCTGTGCACGAGATTACTGACCTTTAAATCTGTAGTCAGAATTCAATCTGAATTAAAAACGAAATTATTTTTTAAAAAAACACGAGGGAAGAGACATGTAAAGTGGTTATTATATAACGCATTATGTGAGCCGGCCAAAAAGGCTTATTTCTCCCGTGGCGGAGACAGAGCAAGTCATCTTTCAACAAGTGCATACACAGCATGAGAACAGCTGAAGTATTGCACCTAGTGGAGCAGCAGTCTCAGCTGGAACTGCTAAAAAAAAAAAAAAAAAAAAAAGATGATTCACCTCGGTCAGGGCCAAGAGAGTCAGTGCGTCCAGCTCACCCCCAGACTGTACTGCAGTCACAGAAAGAAGATGACTTTAACAGACCCTCATTGTCTCAGGTGACTCACGCCTCAGCAATGTTTTTTTTTTCTTCCCAAAAGCCAAAACAAGGTCTATCTCCACAGTTAGGGATGTTTAGAAAGGATACAGCACAAGATGTGGGTTTTACTCATGTTTTTAATCACAACGACTCCAGGAGTGAAATGTTTCAACTGCAGCAGGTTTAAGTTAGTGGTGTGGGTTTGGTTACTTCATTGGATATTAGCATACATCTTTTCAATCTGTGGCTGGAACAGAGCCTTGAGCTCAGCTCTCTTGGCCTTCAGTGTGGGAGTTAGCAGACCGTTCTCAATGGTGAATTGTTCTGGATGGAGGTGGGCATCTTTCACCTGCAGGAAGGGGGAAGAAGGGTCAAAATAGTGGCCACAAGGGCTTTCAGTAGTAAAACCAGGGTTTTAAAATATCAGACATTAAAAAAATAAAATAAAATAACAGAAAACAGCAGGATGAAAGCGTGACTGTGGTCTAAAGTTTTCAAATATCTCGTTTTTATGACACTGTTTATTATGACCACTAGAGGGAGAGCCTCTCTCACCACATTAGGGAAATGGCATCAATTCTAGGGTTTTTCTCAGGAAGCAGATGCTGGACAGTTATACCAAGAGTATTTTTTGAACAGTAAACTAACTATTGCTCCCAGCTGTAGAACTCAGACAGAACCATTACCTGCTCAAATGACTTGAGGCCTGCTTCTCTGCCCAGTTTGGTCATGTCCGACAGAATGGCTTTCTTAATTTCCTGTCAGGAAGAGTGGAGTTAAATTGAGTTAATGCTCCTCAGCAGGTGTTGTGACTGTAGATGTAGTAGAACGTGTGGATGTAATGAAGCACACTGACAGGTCCCACTCCTGCCTTCGCAGAACACTACCAGTAACGTGAGGCCTTTTATTACTGTACTGTGGGTTCTATTGTGCCTGAGAAGAGTTATGGCATTTAAACATTACTGTGCGTTTGCAGAGTTCCTCAATGGAGCCTTGACACCCAAGACTTTTGGCAAAGTCTGGCAGAACGTCAGGATCAGGGACCACAACAGCAACCAGACAAGACTACAGAGGAAAAAATAACAGACAAATGTACTGCATATGTACAGGAAGAATGTGTTAACATGTGCCTGGTAAAAATGTACCTGCAGACTGTCTCCATGTACAAATACTTGGGCCACAGGTCCACTGCGTACATACACATTCTCTATCTTCTCCGGTGCTATGTACTCTCCCTGAGCTAGCTTAAAGATGTTCTTCTTGCGATCAATGATCTTCAGAACTCCACTCTGTAAAAACATGTCAGGTCGGTGAAGGATTTAGTAATATCTCTTTTTTTTTTTTTTTTTTTTTTTTTGAGTTTTTTTTCTTGACACTATTTCTTAACTCTGTTACAGAAACCTAATGTTTTTCTCGTAATTTCCTACCGGGAGCCACTTCCCGATGTCCCCAGTGTGGAGCCAGCCGTCCTTATCCAAGGCCTCTGCTGTCTTCTCTGGGTCCTTCAGGTATCCTTTGAATACATTTAGACCCTTGATGCAGACCTGAATTAAACAGCATACATATGATAATTAGTAGATAAGAAGTTCCGGTGAATAGATTTTAGATAACTTCATTTGGAAAAATTTAAGAATCAGTCCATGTGAAACTCCGTACATGTTTGGGAATATTAAGAGGGGAAAAAAAAAAAAAACTCCACCTGTAAAACCCTACAGTGAATACAACGTACCATATTTAACCCCCCCCCCCACCCCCCCCCAATCTCTTAGAATGCTCAGGTAAAAACCATCTTGTTGCTGTTAATGTGACATGTTGTTGATCTGGGTTTGTTCCAAATGTCTCGATTTTTAGTGCATCATCTGTAACCTCTCTGACCTCTCCTTCACCGTTCGATGCAAAGTAGTTCATTTCTTCAACATCCACCAACTTGACAACATTACAAGGCAGCGGGACTCCAACATGGCCTGTGGAGACAAGGTTCCAGTCACTACTGAACAATGACTTTCCAAACACTGTGCATACAGCACTGACGGCTCATCTGTGTGACGCAGGACCTTTACAGGGCAAAGCTGCGGCCCTATCAGAGCACAGTGGACTGTGAACTCAGGTGACCTCTGAACTACGTACCTGAAGTGGCATCACCCGACGTGGTGAAGGTGCAGCCGGCTGTGCACTCTGTCTGCCCGTATCCCTCAAAGATCTAGCAGCAGTCAAATGAAAGTGGAGTTAGAGCAGTGTGACCAGGTTATCATGACAACAAACACACACACACACACACACTGTTGTGCAAGTCCAGCTCCCAAAACAAGCATTAGTGTATCAGTGTTTCCCTGCAGATCTCAGTTCACAAAGGTTCAGACAATTAATCAGCAGGCCGATTTCAAATGAGGAGATTATATAGGGAGGAGCAGCTGCATTTTTAATAAGAGATTAAGAGACTTTACATCCAAAAGTCCTGAATTCAATTAATTTATGTTTGAAGGTTAAGTAAACATGACATGTCAGCACTTTCAGCTGCCTCCAAACAAAGACACCACAGAGGAGTCCATGTTTCTAACCTGACATCCCAGAGCAGCTCTCAGGAAGTTCAGGACGGTGGGAGAAATGGGAGCTGCTCCAGTCACCATGACCCGCACATGTCCGCCCAGAGACGCCTGCAGACAGACAGCCACAGTTAAAGACCTCAGTATGATGGTCTGTGTCAACCGCTTTAAAACACAAACTCTGTACCTGGACTTTGTGGAAGATGAGTTTGTCCCACAGGCTGTTCTTCCTGATGATGCCTTCTCTGACCTCGGCGTATTTCCTCTCGACGGCAAAGTTCAGGAGCCATTTCTTGAAAGCAGACGATGCACCGCTCTGGACCTGCAGGAGTTGTCGGGAACAAAAATGACCTCAGCAACAAACATGAAACTTCAACTTGTGGATGGATCTCCTTTGGTGTACTCACTTTGTCATAGACACGGTTGAGTAGTCGGGGAACTACTGGGAAGATGGTGGGCTGTAAGGTTTTCATGTCATCAGGAAGTAGTCTGATGTCACCCTGGAAGAATCCCACCCTTCCTCCTGCACCGTACATTACGGTCTGCAAGAGGAGAAAAAATAAATAAATTAAACGGTGAGGAGACACTTTGACCTGTTCATATAGACTGTATTCTCTGATTCTCAGCTCTCACCTGGACGACTCTCTCAAACATGTGGGCCAGAGGCAGGAATGAGATGCTGATATCTTGAGTTGATGGGACAATTGATGTCTGAGGGAGACAACGTGTCAGCAACTGAAGGTTCAAAACCCACCAACTGTTCTATTATACAAAAACAAATAAATGCAGGCACCTCAAAGCTTTTCACCACACCTGCAGCGTCAGAGACCACGTTCTCATGAGTCAGCATCGCTCCCTTGGGGTTCCCTGAGAACAAACCATATTTTGCAGTTTAAACTTCAGTAAAAATACATTTCATAGTGACTCGTATATGATAAATGCTGTGTATTTTGCATTTTTCCCACTTTATCAGCAGCTCTTAGGCTGTATTAGATGGACTGGTGCAGTGTTACTAAAATAGCAGGTCATGACCCAGGTGCGGTACCATAGGTTGAATACCATTTTGTCTAATGATCTCCTCAGTGTGTTTACTGTCTTCACAGTTTAGCTCTGCTGCTATTATACTAGCCTAAAGTTAGGTCCATATAAAGTAAAGCAGCTACTTGAGCACCCTCTGCTGGATCACGTAGTGACTTCGAGTTTAACTGTCAAATTGACAAAAAAAAAAAAAAAAAATTACATATGCTCACCTGTAGTTCCACTGGTGAAGCAAACAATGGTCAGGTCTTCTGGCTTTGGTGGCTACAGAGACATGAATCAACTGATTAGAACAGCACTAAATTAAGTTATATGAAACAATTAACAGTTTTTAAATCCTTACAACTGGCTTTTGAAGATTGTTTTTCCCCAGTTCCTGCCAAAAAAACATGATTAAATAAGTTAGTGAAGCCTCAGGTTCTGTCGAAGATTATTATTACTTTTATTATTATTGGTGGTCAGTGTGTCACCTCCACTTCCTGCATGGACACAACGTCCACTCCCACTTTTTTTCCTCTCTCAACCATCTCCATTTCAAAGGTGTCCATGACGATGATGGTTTTGAGAACAGAACTCAGACCGTTCTCACGGTTCTGCAGCAGTGTTTCTGCCTTCTTCTGATTGTCGCAGAGCACAGTGGAGATCTCCGCTGACAGAAAACAAATATCAAAATCAGCAGATCAATAGTTGCTCAACACTGCTGATCAACATTAGTGAAACTCCCAGAGTGTCACCAAGAGCTAAATGATGACTACAGTGTGAAAAAAAAAAAAAACAGGAGATAAAGACACTTGATACAAACCCCTGAAGTCAACCAAAGATTTAGTGGACTCAGATTAAATTAGCGTTAGTGTTAGAAGTGCAGAGAGAAGCTCCAATTACCTTGGTCGATAATGAACACAAGCGCCTCGGGACCCAAGGTGTCGTACAGGGGGACAACCACCATGGAGTAGGTGTAACAGGCCAGTTCACCAATAATCCACTGCACGGACCAGTGTCAGTTCATTAAGACAGTTAATTAACGCCAAAATAAAAACCAGACTCCATATGTGACTTACCTCAGGTCGGTTCTGAGCAAAGATGCCAATGAAAGTGTCCTTGTTTGGTTTCAGACCTTGATGAAGGAGCCCTGACCCCAGCTGCTCTGCTCTGTCGGACACCTTCAGAGAGATGAAGGAGGATGTTCAGAGTCAGCAGTAACTCATAGATATCATTTCACTTGTTCAACTGTGTTTGTCATTCTCACCTGTTTGTATCTCAGCCACTGGTATGCCCTTCCTGGCTTCCTGTAGCCCAAACATGGACCATTTCCTGCAGATACGACAAGGACAGTGTTTCTGAATAAGAAACTATTTTAAATGGTCTCGCCACATTGTGGCCACTAAAATTACTTGAAAAGTCTTGATGATTATGCCACCAATCCTTAAACTGGAAACTAGAAGAATTACATCTGAACACATTAGATAAAATGAAATACAAATAGATTTACTTGCTGAAAAACTTTGATTTAAACGTCACCTGACACTTTCAGCCCTCTCTGAAAAACCTCATACAGAGTCTTTGCGTCGTCATTACAGTAGGCCACCAGGTTGTTGTTATCCTCCAGCAGAGCAGTCTTCCTCGCTCCATCCTGAGAACATGAAGCACAAGAACCGTCCTCACACAACGGCCGAGTGTTCCACCTTTTCTTCTCTCAGCACATGTTTCTGTGGGAAACAGGTCCACAGTCCTTACCTTGATCCCAACAGTCTGGTGTTTCAGGTCAACCGGAGTGTGGATTGGACAGGGCCGCGTGTTGAGGTAGAAGAGGACAGCAGCCGCCAGGGCAAACAGGGAGACGATGGCCGGGGTGGGAAGAGGGGAGAAGAGCACCTGGAAGAGGAGGTCCATGGTACCAACGCTGCTGCACACACAGACTGAGGAAGGGTCATGTTTGCAAACACTTGGCTCTTTAAAAATCACATTGTGCAACAGTGAGTGCCTCGGCAGTCTTCAAGTCATCTTTGACCCCAACTGGGGGTCAAAGTCAACAGCACTTGTGCAACAGTTAAGATTATAATGGATCTGGAGACAGACTGACTGTGGGGGCAGTGAAACAGCAGGCCTGCACTTGTTATTAACAAGATAAAGCATAAACATGAACATGCATGCACGCATCGTGGCTACATCAAATGACACATGACACAATTAAACAGCAACACAAGGCAGAATTAAAGGATGGATTACCCTGATTCTCACCAGTTCAGGTCCCTCTCAGTTGTTGCTGTCAGCTTGTGGTCAACAGGCTAGTGTGTGTGTGTGGGGGTGTGTACCAGAACAGATCCTCCACTGAAGGGAGACACACACAGAATGAATGTTCATAAACACAGGCTGATAGAGGAGTGGAGACCTTTGAACCTTGGCCATCATCACTTCCACTGATAAAAACAAGAAGAATGAGCTTGGACAGACCAAACACTGTACAATCCTACAGTAGTGTATTGCACAACAAGTCATTTAGGATTTAAAAATAAAAAAATTACACACACACACACACACACACACCATCTCTACCTACCAGTCATTTCAGTTAGAACTAACATATTTTTGGTTTTCTCCAAAAACATTGTCCAAAGGCCAAGATGCTTCAGCTGATGAAAGGTCAATATTCTTATCGGCTGATTATCACGTACAAAGTCTGCATATTTTAAAAAAGTGAATGCACAAACAAAAACCATTCTGGTGGAGATTCATGGAACATGGACAAATGTGACTTGAATTGAGTGCTTTGCCTTTAAACTGGTTTCTGAACGACCAGCTTTAGTGGGAGATTTCAGATTAAGTAGAGTACATCAATGTCAGCTGCACATTCTGCTTTAAAAACACTTTTACTTTTTATATTTTTGTCTTCACCTTCCTAATCTTCTATACAAACAAATCTAACCTGGGGTTTGCTCTTGTAGTGCTCTGAATTGTGTAATCCCAGAACAGAGAGGAAAATGACAATGACAGCACCACAGTCAGTTTATACTCCATCATTAACCTTTTCAAGGAGAATGACAGTGAAAACGTTCAGGCAGTACATTAACAACAAGATAAGGAACTTATGAGACAGGCTGCACAGACATAAAGCCTTCACTGTACAGTGTTTGCTTATTTGTTGGACAGAGACAGACAGAGAGTTTAACATTTTGAAAATAAAGACAGCACTTTGACAACTGTGCCTCCAATTGTTGTATTATCCATAATGATAAAATAACTTCTATTTGAGATTCAGTAAATGATTGCGCTGTGGTCTGTCATTATCATCCAAATTTTGAGCTCCATTTTAGCCTAAAACAATCAGGTGTACATATTCCGACTCTCCTGGTCAGTGGTTACAGCAGAGGTTCATTAGAAGAAGCTTTAATATCGTTACCTCTAGGGATTAGCTCCAGTAGTTTGGGGCCAAGCTGATCACCTGGCGACAGCACAGCTGAATCCAGCAACACCATCTAATGTAGGATCTGCCCACCTGTCTTCATTAGCACCTTCAACAGCACACAGGTGTGAGTGAGTGCCTCAGCCCAGAGCAAGGCTCGGCTTGTCAGCTTCATGTGACTCCTGCACCAGCACAACACACACCTCAGGAGATCTGTAAAACCCTTTACCCCTGGGATTAGTTCTGTCCAAAATGCCCGTCGGAGATGGACACTTTGTGGATTTATTAAACCAAAGCAGTTAGTTTGTTTCTTTTGCATTACTTTCTTAAATATGTCTTTATATTTTTCTAACAAGACGTATGAATAAGAAAAATGACCTTGTCGTCCCTACACCTCTGAAGACATGAATGGGAGCAACACTATTTTGACAGAAAAAAATCTCAAGTCCCACCTGAAAATGTGTGGGTGCT